AAGGTGTAGACGGCCTGTCAAGCAGCCAGTACGGGTTCCGAAAGGGCAGATCCACGGTGGACGCCATCCGCGACGTCATCCAGACGGCAGAGGTGGTCCATCGGAAACGAAGGGGCATTCGCTACTGCGCGGTGCTAACCTTAGACGTGAAGAACGCGTTCAACAGCGCGTGCTGGGGGGCGATAGCCCGCTCGCTACACCAGCTCCAAATTCCCGGAGGGCTGTATAAGATTCTGGAAAGCTACTTCCAGAATCGTGTGTTGACGTACGACACAGAAGATGGCGAAAAATGCGTTAGAGTCACCGCAGGTGTGCCACAAGGCTCCATCCTGGGCCCGGTGTTATGGAACGTCATGTACGATGGACTGTTGAGGATAAAATTCCCGGTAGGCGTGAAAATTGTAGGTTTTGCCGACGATGTCACGCTGGTAGTCTGCGGGGAATCCCTTGTGGAGGAATGGATGAGAACCAGGAAACTGGAGCTCGCCCATCACAAGACGGAAGTGGTCGTAGTCAACAATCGCATGTCAGTACAGCATGCAACGTTGACAGTCGGCGGAAGCACAATTAGGTCTGTGCGCTCTCTAAAACTCTTGGGGGTCATGCTCGACGATAAGCTCAGCTTCGGCTGCCACGTCAAGTACGCCTGCAAGAGAGCGTCTATGGCTGTGGGGGCATTATCCCGTATGATGTCAAACAGCTCGGCAGTGAATGCCAGTAAGCGCAGGCTCCTCGCTGGGGTCGTAGTATCTATCCTCAGATACGGCGGCCCTGCGTGGGCTGCGGTACTGGATATTGACTGCCACAGGCAGAAATTAGAGAGTACACACAGGCTAATGTGCTTAAGGGTGGCCAGTGCATACCGCATTATCTCGAGAGAGGCCGTCTGTGTCATAGCAGGGATGATGCCAATCAGCCTTATCATTAAGGAGGATGTGGCGTGTTATGACGCGAGGACCGTTCGAGGGGTGCGCAACAACGCGCGAGTTGTGTCGACCGCGAGATGGCAATTGAAGTGGGAACACTCCACAAAGGGGAAGTGGACTTACCGCTTGATACCTTCCGTATCAAGCTGGGTCAACAGGCGCCATAGGGAAGTAAACTTCCACCTGACACAGTTCCTGTCAGGCCATGGCTGCTTTAGGAGCTACCTGCATAGGTTCGGACATGCAAGTACTCCCACCTGCCCCACATGTGCTGGTGTCGAGGAGACCGCCGAACACGTCGTGTTTGCCTGTCCACGTTTCGAGCCAGTATCGAGCGCTATGCTAGCGATATGCGGAGCGGATACCAGTCCGGACAACATCGTTCATAGGATGTGTGGTACCACCGAGAACTGGAGCGCGGTGGTGACTGCGGTCACCCACATAGTTTCGGTATTACAACGACAGTGGCGAGCCGAGCAGCAGTTACCTACTGCCCGACCAGATCGTTAGAGTATTGCAAGAGAGGCGCCATAGCGCTACAGCGGCCCCTCCCACGAAGTAATGCCTTCGGGCGGTTCCGGGGAGGCCAAGGGCCAAGCGCACAGGGTAAGGTTTAGTGGGTCGGGAGTGAAATTCTCCCATCCCCACACCCTGAGTTCCTTCTCAGGTGTCTGTGAGCAGATTCCCCCCTGTATGAAAAAGACAAAAAAAAAAAAAAAAAAAAAAAAAAAAAAAAAAAAAAAAAAAAAAAAAAAAAAAAAGGCACGGTTTGGCAAGGTACGTAGCCTCTATGCCGTAGGTCAGCCGCGAGTTTACTATAGCTTTCGCAACATTGAAGCGTGAGGTCCGGTTGGCGTTAGGATGTTCGCCTGCTAGTGTCCTCAGGATGTTTGGGTGCTGTTTGCAGGCACTCTTTACCTCGTTCAGGTGCGTGTTGAATATAAGAGAGTGGTCACCAAGTATCCGAAGGGTTTTTCTGAACGGAATTACCTCGTCCTGGATGCTAATCTTCGTGCTGAGGATCCGGTGATTCGACGGACAAATATGAGTGTACCCGCTTTTTGCTGCGGACATCTGGAATCCTGCGTTTGATGCCCAATTCGAGATGTAGGCCGTGGCTTGAATAATTTTTCTTCGAAGCGCTTTGACAGTCTCCTTAATTGCCATAAGGACGATGTCGGCTGCATACACGAAAATGAAGATTCCGACCGGCAACCTCGTGAATACCCCATTCATCCTAACGAGAAAGAGGGTGACCGCTATCACCGACCCTTGCGGTACGCCAGTCTCCTCGTCGAAAATCTTGGATCGACAGTTTCCCAGGACAACCTGGAAGGTCCGGTGCGAGAGGAAGTTCTGGATGAATTTCAACACGTGTCCTTTTAGATTCTGTATACCATGATTTAGACTTGTAGAGTGCTTTAAAACCTTAGTAAAACTTGCAATGCTAGTCATTTGGTCATTTGAACCCTTCCGGATCACTACGAAAAAGGTGAGTTTAGATATAAATATGAGCATCTACCGGTACGGATTTCCGGATAAACTAACGCGATTGGTCAAGGCGACGATGGTTCAAGTGATGTGCGTTGTTCGAAATCGGGGACACTGTCGAGTCCCTATAAATCTCGAAGGGAGTTACGGCAAGGTGATGGACTTTCGTGTCTGCTATTCAACATTGCGTTAGAAGGTGTGATCAGAAAAGCTGGGATAGACACGAGTGGCACGATCTTCAGGAAGTCCATCCAGCTTCTTGGCTTCGCCGATGACATTGACATCATGGCATGGAACTTTGAGACGATGGCGGAAACGTACATCAGACTCTAGGCTGAAGCTAGGCGGATTGGATTTGCCATCAACGCATCAAAGACAAAATACATGAAACGAAGAGGTTCTAGAGAAGACGAGGTTAGCTTCCCATCCCGAGTTCAGATTGAAGGTGCTCGATGAGTTCGTGTATTAAGGCTCACTACTGGTGACTGCCGAAAATGATACCAGCAGAGACATTCAACGACGCATTATGGCAGGGAATCGTGCCTACTTTGGACTCCGGAGGACGCTCCGATCGAATAAAATTCACCGCCACACGAAGTTGACTGTCTACAAGACGCTGATTAGACCGGTGGTCCTCTACGACCACGAGACCTGGACTATGCTTGGTGTTTTCGAACGGAAGGTGTGGCGTACCATCTACGGTAGAGGCGAATGAACCATGAATTGCACCATCGTCCACATTGCAAAAATTGGACGACTACGGTGGGCTGGGCACGTCGTAAAAATGCCGCACAACGACCCAGTGAAAATGGTTCTCGAAAGCGACCCAACAGGAACAAGAAGAAGAGGCGGGCAAGGTGGATCGACCAAGTGGAAGGCGACCTGCGGACCCTTCGCAAACTACGAGGCTGGCAACGTGTGGCCATGGCTCGAGTAGAGTGAAGACGACTTCTTCGGAAAGTAGAGGACAACAAGGCCTTAGCCTGATTGGTAAGGTAAGTATCTGCCGGAACTGATTGAACTTTTGGTAATTTAAATTATTAAGATTCCCTGAAATATGAAAGATTTAAGTTTGGCAAACAATTGAAGTGAGTTGTACCGGATTTGTGATTTTTGGCATCACGAATAACATATGCCATCACGATCATTTTCTTCTCTCAAGAACTCGGAAATCTTGCAAAAGACTTTAAACTACAAAAAATCTTCAAAATTTTGAAATGAAAAAAACTCAAAATTCAGTTAACTATTAACATAATTAGTTACAGTCAACTTTCCTTAATTTGGTTCCATTGAGTTTGGATATGTATACGGTTTAATTGGGAGAGTTGATTGCAGGGTTACTTCCACTGACTTGCTATATTTTTTTTTTCAGAATTATGAAATCATTAGATGCTATAATGATAATTAGTACTTGTAAGTTACAAAAAGAGATCGATAAGTATGTGTTTGACACATAAAACCTGTCAGTATTGCTTTCAGTGCGTCGCAATCATCGATTTTACGATTCGTGAGCGCTCACTCTGAGTGAACGGTCACGAATCATACGATCGCTGATTGTGACGCTCTGCAAGCGAAATTGACAGGTTTAAGATTCAAACACATACTTTACACCCTCTTCTTGTTACTGATTTCATCATTTCAAAAAACATGTTTATTAAAGCAAGTGAGTGGCAGCAAGCCTGATTGTAACTACTTTTCTTTATAAGAAATAATTTCAGTTTAGAGTAGAAATAAGTAGAGTGCTCACTTTTTCGAATCTCGAACAAATAAGCAGCGACATTCTTTTTTATACCTACAGCGCAGCCTAGCGGCGAAAGGATGGAGCAAACTGAACTATACTTCCAAGATTTTAAAACAGCTGAAAGTCTCATTAACATCTTTCCCGCCCATGGTTACTTTGGAGCACCATGCCTTTTTTGACATTGTGAGCTCTTTCTGAACCGATTCTTTTAAAAATATTCTAGTCTGCACTATCAAAATAACATAGTCTGCACTGATTATGCCAAAGCTTTCTAGGCGTAATAAAGAAAGAAAATCTGGCCACCCTGTGAGGCATCCGGATCCTGAAAAGACCTCACAGTGTGAAAATACAATGACAAAATTTACCACTTTTGAACATTCCAGACCTGTCGCTGAAAGACTTCACGAATACGTAATTTCACTCCAAACTATGGCACGTGACGCATCAACATTCATAGTTCTGAAGAGTAGATTAGCCCACCGGGGAGAAATTTCCTACGAATCACCACGATGTGTGGCAGTTGACCCGATTCGAGTTATCCGTGGGTGGGACCCATGAGCAAAACAAAATATTCCTCGCGAGCGTCAATGACGAATGGGAAATTTTTTGTCGTTTTGGCAGCTCCATACACGACCATGTTTTGGATCTGCACACCTATCTAACAAAAACTACATATGCATAGTTAGTTGTTGTTGTTAATTTGTGTTTTGCGCTGCACACGAGTAGGAAGCGGGCGCGCATTGACTTCATCAAATTTCAAAAACAACCCCGCAATGTCGTCGCCAACGGGAGTCATGTGCGAGAATGGCAACTTTCAAGCAGCGGGAATTAGTCACACTTACCCCCTTTACTGGTTTGCTTCTCAAGATTTGGCCTGATTTCGTCCCCCTGCACGACGGCAACCGGTACGACCAGTACGCTAAACAGTAGCACACTGGTCATCAAGAGCCAGGCCAGTTTGGCTGGCCTCAGCGCCGATCCTGCTGCTGCTCCGCTAGCAGCTGCTGCTATCCGAGAATTCCGTTGCTGATGACACTTTGCCCCCCACCACTTCCGTCGACCTACCACCAATTCTTCTTCATCGAACTCTTCTGGACAAGACTCTGTCCTGTAATTTTGCTTGTGCTTCGTCGTCAACTGCTCGAGCAGGTTGTTCAACCCTGCCGAGGGAAATGATGCTTCCGCGGACTCTACCACCATTTCCGGTTGCACTATTTCTTCATTTGCACTTCCGCTGTTGTTGTTGTTGTTACTACTACTTCTACTACTACTACTACTACTACTGCTTCGGTTGCACTGTCTCGTTCTCGGCGATGAATCTTCTTCGCTGTCACTCTGGCAGCCACCACTTCCCTTCGCAAAGAGCACCTCACTTCTAGCCACTTTTTTCTTCATTTCGGGTGCTTTTCATCACACGTACACATACACAAACACCAGTAATCGCAACGGATTTCCTCTCAATCTCCAAAGGAACTATACACCAAGCTACATTTTGTAGCTGCTTGCTCCATTTAATCAGAATACAATTTTCACTTACACTTTCCTGGCCGCACAGGGCGACTTTTTCCAGAGCTTCATCACTTTCACTGGCTCCCAACAACCGCGGACATGGGAACTTATTCCTTTGGTGTAGGCTTCACCACCACCGTCGGTGATGGTATTGGACGTCACACAAAACTCTACAACACTATACGCGCTTCTGTATCCACACCAAAATATTTAGAGGTTCACGTCTCCGTTCCGCGGATCCACACGTCCTTCCCCGCGCGCGCGTTCCACCCTCCGCCGTAGACACATAAAACGGAATAGAGCCGGAGCAGTAGTTTTCGCTCTCTTTCTCTCCTACACGCTCTTTTCTAGCACACTGCTGCTGCTGCTGCTGCTTCTCCGACCGCGGACTAGCAACGACGGTGGCGCTCGCACTTGCCAATCTCGAGTCGCGGTGGCGGCGACGGCGGCTCACAAATTCTTGATACGCAATATCCTTTGGCAAAAACCCGAGAAACGACTAGTTTTCTAGGCAGCACACTCTATCTAGTAGAACAGTCTACGATGCTACACTACTTTCACCCTTGGGTTCGAGATTTCTCAATGTCGCTTTGAACTGTAGTACTGTATCTGTAAATAGAGGAAAAAAGCAATAATGGAGAACTCAATTAGTAAATCTATCCTATTCAAGTGTAATACAAAGTAGGCTGTTTGTTGGGTGGGAAGCTCCACACTCCTCACAAGGGTCCAAGCAACCAAGTGGAGCGACTTTAATCGAAACTAATCAGGCTCAATTACCACTCTTCTTCCAATCTAGTAGGCGCATATACGAGAAAGCAGAAAAAAACATACGTACACACAAAACACAGGATGAGGGGACCTCAATCTCGACGGTCGGGAACGCAACGCTTGCTCACTCCACTCCTCAGAAGCCACCTTTCTAGACACAAACTTATCCGATTCACACAATATGTTTCCCCGGAGCAGTTCTGATTTCCCGTAAAACTAACCAACTCCGGAAGATGTCAGCGACCGACGACGACGACGACGTATCCTGCTCCTAACCAAGAAATTCCGACCGTGTCGCCTTGCGCTTCGAAAACTCTTGTGTGGCACACGACAGCGCGTCGCACAATCCGTAACAATTCCGGAAAAACACACCGTAATTTCCCAAACACACACGCACAGCAGACTTCACCTCGCACCAAAAAAAAAACACCACAGCACGAATCAACCAGTAAATATAGATATTTTGATAATATTTTGAAGTTGTTATTTTCTTTTCTTATTTGCCACAATATATTATAATCTCCCGCAGCACTACACTCAACTTTGCGTCCGCGACGTACGAGAAAAAGGCCTATTCTGTCGTGTTCGTGTCTGGTTTGGTCTAATGAACCGCCGATGGACGACGACGACAACGACCACGACGGAGACGGCGATCAACCAAGACCAAGCCCAAGACGACAACGTCCATATAGACAGAGCGAGAGAGAGAAAGAGAGCAGAGGGAACACAAACACTCGCGCAAACAATGCTCTCTTCCCGAATTCGACTGACTACTCAGCAGACAGCCACCAATACCGAGCGAACGGCGAGGAGCGAGCGTTCCATTCAAAACGTGCACGTCGCTCTTATCGTCGTAGTAGCCAAAGCATAGCAGCATGGCATAGCATAGGAGGCAGAGCAGTGGAAACTACGCTATCGTTGTTGCACACACGTTGGGTGTAGTATTTATTTACACACAAATACGCGATCGCAGTAAGCGTAAGCAGATTGCTGAATGGAACCAATACAAGCGGGGAAAGTTGAGTCGTGTGGACCCATCAGGGGTGCCAGAATATTAATGGAAAATGAAGGGAACACCATCGAGTTATGATCGCCATAGAACAGTTATTGGTGAATTTTACATCGGAACTATAATAGTGGGCCAGTTATTGGCCCCTTCATAATTTACATGTTTCGACGTATAGAAGAACACTTGCGAGTGCGAAAAATGAGCATGGAACAAAAAGTGGTCAGGTTTTGAAACTAAATAACTCGGTTATTACATGATACATTTTCAATATTATTGCATCAATCGATCGGAATTTTCTCTACGTATCGATCCCATTGGGTACAACCATGAAACACGAGCATGCAGATGGTGGCTTACAGTTTAAGAAAAAGTGGGAAATGCTGTCAAATACTTATCAATAAAAGTATTTTTGGAATTGAGATGATGTCTAGAGGATGAAAAACGAAATCCGACGCCATTTTGAAATTGAATATGGCGGCTTCGAAATTACGAAAGAGTGGAAATACAGTCAAATACACATCAATATTGGTATATTTGCAATCGGTATGAAGTCTACAGATCAAAAATTGATATGCGACGTCATTTCGAAATCCAAAATGGCGGCTTCCGATTTCAGAACAAGTGGAAATACAGTCAAATACACATCAATATTGGTATATTTGCAATCGGTATGAAGTCTACAGATCAAAAATTGATATGCGACGTCATTTCGAAATCCAAGATGGCGGCTTCCTATTTAAAAAAGGCAAATGTTGATGCCGTCCCATCAATATGGCATTTTTGGAATCGGAGTGACGTCTGGAGATTGGAAATCAATATCCGACGCTATTTTGAAAACCATCATGGCGGTTTCTGGTTTAAAAAAAGTTGTAAATTCTATCAAATACCCATACAAACGGTTTTTTTTTTGTATAATCAGAGTAATATCTAGAAGCCCGGAAATCGATATCCGACGCCATTTTGTAATCCAAGACGGCCGCTTCCGATTTGCGGAAAAGTGTCAAATACCCCAAAATATGGTTAGACATATGTCGTTTTCGTTTTTGCGGTGTAGCACCGGTGTAGAGTAAGCAGGAATAAGCGCGAGTCTTTGACAGCTCAACATATTTTTTTTTTGTTGTCTACACCCTAAATTATTTCGGTGTACGGCAGTGTAGCGCCGAAAACGACAATAGATGACGGAAATTTATTTCACGCCTTGGTTCAGAAAACTGTGAAATACTGTCCAATACCGATCAAATGTGGGTTTTTTTGGAATCGGGCTGACATCTAGAAGCCAGAAATTGATGTCGCCATCTTGAAATTCAAGATGGTGGCTTTCGATTTCAGAATAATTGTTAAAAAGCCTACAAATGGAATCGAATATCGATTTTCAGCATCTACGCGTTGTCCCTGTTGCGAAAATAATCATATTGTAGGGTATTTGACACTTTCTGAACCCTGATGACCACCATATTGGATTCAAAAGTGGTATATGATATCAATGTTTGGCATCTACTGTCCCTGTTCCGAAAATAACCATATTGTAGGGTATTTTACACTTTTCTGAAACCCTATGGCTGCCATATTGGAGTCCAAAATGGCAGCCACGCGTTGTCTCCGTTCCGAAAATACCCATATCTCGGGTGACACGTTTTATGAAACTTGATGGTCACCATTTTGGATTCCACAATAACGTCGAATATCGATTTTCGGCACCTTCGCGTCGCGACGCGTCGTCCCGTTTCGAAAATACCCATATTGTAGGGTATTTGAGACTTTTCCTGACCCCGATGGCGGCCATATTGGATTGCAGAATGGCCTCGTTAATTTAATTTTCGTTTAATATAAAATAATAATTAATATTACTACATGTAATCCGGATGCCATCCCTATCGGCAACCGATATTGTGCGGATACTATCCGGTTACTATATTATTATATTTTTATACCTGCGTCGTCAGGTCGTGACAAGTCAAATGAACCCCGAATTGAAGTGAAAGTGGAAAAAAACTAAGGAAGCAGTTTTCGAGTCATTCATTGCGTCAATTGAAACAAGTCTTTGCTTCAAATGAAATGAGCTGAAGTACTTGAAGAACGAAACAAGTGATAGTCCAGCCATGTTTGAAAAGAAGAATGTTAATCGTGACTCGATAGCAAGAAACACGATGCCTTACACGAAAATGATATTGCTCGAAATGAAGCGATTCTGCGGAGAGTTCATTTTCTTTTCCTTGTGTCGAAAATGCAGAACCCTGGTCCAGATAACCGAGCGGACCGATATGGAGCGAGACAAGAAGCGGTACAACGATTTAAGGCAGTAGATATCCGTGAAGTCTTTGGCAATCCTGAAGATAAAACCTAGAATTCTGGAAGCTTTTTCGACGGCATACGAGATGTGCTGCTTGAAAGAGAGTTGTGTATCCAGAATTACACCTAGGTCTTTAATTTCGCAGACGCGCTCAATTTCAGTGCCTATTTAACAAAACATACTTGAACATAATAGTCTCTTTCTTGCGCGAAAAAGAGATAACCTAGCATTTTGGACGGGTCAACCTCCATATGATGCAGAATACACCAATCAGCAAAAGCATTCAGCTGACGTGCAAGGAAGCAACAGTCTTCAATTGAGTGAATTCGAAGGAAGAGTTTAAGGTCATCTGCGCAAGATAATCGTGGTCCCTCCCATTACCAGATTCACGTCGTTGAAGTAAATCAGGAAAATCAGCGGCCCCATGTGACTACCCTGGGGCATGCCGGACGTGGCAGCAAACATACGGGACTGATGATCAGTGATCACCAATAATAACAGTAAGATAGCGATCGGTGAAGTATGACCACCGACAAACCGACATGAATGACCATACAAAGTATCATCAAATTTCTGATCAAAGCAGAAAACTGACATCTGCCACCGTGTTCACGAAAAATGTTTATCCTAGCCACGAACACGCATACAAAATGTATGAGTTGGTTCGTGTCTAACTATTACGGGCAAATTATTTTTATCTAGATAACAAATTTCTATGGTTTTGACAGATGGGATCGCTGCACATTTGAATCCGACGTTATGGGTTCTCGATCAAGAGTTAAGTTTAAGTTTCATGTCGGTTTGTCGGTTGTATGACTGAAACCATTGCAAAAGGCAGCCGTGGATAACAAGCCTGTCCACTTTTGCGATTGATATGCGGTGATTCAATTTATCGAAGCAGCAGATAAGATGACATCCATCTGAGCACAATCCGACATACTGTTAGAGATGCAGGAAGTAAGGCACAGCAAGTTAGTGGCAGTGGAGCGACCAGCCATGAAACCATGCTGGTCGATACTAATATAAAGCTTATAGTGAGCGGGTAACGGTTCCATAACAACGAGTTTGAACAATTTAGCAATAGCGCTAAGCGTAGTGATGCCACGGTAGTTGCCAACGTGTTGCCCTTCTTGTATACTGGAAACATGTGCGCTAGCTTCCAACAGGATGGGAAAACGCCGAAGTAAAACGTGCAGCAGTGGAGACAACAAACTGTCCAAGTGCGTTTTGAGGAATACCGATGGAATTCCGTCAGGACCGAATTGAGTTTCGTGGAAGCCCTGGAAAACATCTGGGGATTGATGTCAATTCTGATCATGGTTTGACCAGAGAGTGGTACGTAACTGGTAGCCAGTCGGACATGGTAGTCACTCAGTCTCTCGTTCGTGAAGACACTAGCAAATTTTTCAGAGAACAGCTGACAGATATCTTGCGTAGATGAGGCCACGTTACCATGTATCACAGACGGCGGCAGACCACCTTCATGACGCTGTTCGTTGATAAACTTCCAAAACTGCTTGGGACATGACTTAAGCTTTCTCT